AAATTGCCTGGCCACTTAGCTAATCAGCACCGTGATAATGGTCCCGCAGCTTTTAAAGTGACGCTATGCAAAACTTTTCCTCTTCACCGGCAGAAATTATCATGTTGTTAATGAATGTCGAGGATAAACGTCATGCCATGTCATATCATGCGTATACGTCATATATTTGATTATATTGAGCATAATTGGGTCAATTCACAACGATTGAGCTATTACCTGACCCTCATCGACTCACATGGTCGCATTAGAGGTCGTGCGACGATAAAGCATTATGTGTTCTCCCACCCAGTCCACTCACAAACTACATTCAACGCATGCACACATAATAGATAGCCAAGTTTGTTAAATTACGTTACAAATCCTTCTTTAGAATCGACACTTTGAGACGTTTGGCTGACCTTGAGTGATGACATGCATGTTGTACTGCTTCATCGTGTGATACGTAAACTGTCCGTTTCAATGGTTGTTTTTCACACCATGAGGCTAGGTTTGTATTTATATTTGCGAAAAACATTCCATACTGTTAGCGTAAAACTTCTACGCAAATTTCATAGATTTGGTGTTCGACGAAAATCTCATAAAATTCTTAATTTTTATCTATCTGACAGAACTCAGTGTTTCAAAATGAGGAATTAGCTACCTTTGTTCAAAAACGTAACAAGGGGTGTCCCCAGGGATTAATTTCGGTGCGATTCTGTTCATTATGTACATAACTGACTTTCCTAAATGAACCAGTAGCATGGTCCTCCTCTTCTACGCTGATGACTCTTCGACTATTTTCAAGAATAAAGGTAACGTGGAGCTCAAAACAACGTCAATGCACTTTTGCTTCTAATAACTTTTTGGTTTAGTGCAAACTGTCTTTAATTTGGTGCATCAAAAACATTAGCACAGCACTATGCTACCCTTTTACCTCATTTCCAACTAATTTACAGCTTAACGACTCACGTACTGAAGTGAAAACAAATCCAATACCTTGGTGTACTCCTTCACAAACCTCTTGGATTTATGCTTTACATTAATCATGTTACATGCTCATGGAAACATTGGAATAATTAGTAGGATTGGGTACTTCACTGACAGCACGTCACATTCGCTGTATAACAATTAATTTGTTTTCTCATTTGCTCATCGAATTGTCACAAATCATCTGCACGAACTATTTGGGCTCGTGATCAACACGTTGAACCGACATGATCTTTGCTTGTGATCCGATAACACGTTGTCTCGTATGATTGACCCTGATCGCCTGGAGACCAAACCAGTTGATGTATCGCATCAATAGAGCCCAAAAACAAGAAAGGAAAGCTAGACTCGAAACTGTCGGAACTTTCTTCAAATGGTCCGACAACGCTGCAGACCCCACTGTATGCGATGATCTCCGTTATATTTGGAAACATCTGCTGTTGTAAAATCTATTGCTGGACAGATCCGGACTATGCGTTAGGACTGCCTGGAACGATGCAGGGGCCCTTCTAGAAAATTGGCAGCGGCCTGTTTTGCAGAGGTTGTACCTGTTTAGCAACGGTTGTTGCATATTTCCTGAACCAATCATCTACTTTTGTCGCGCTAGTTAACGGATTTTTTTGCCTCCACGCTCACATCCAGAGAGGGTAGAGAGTGGTTCGCATAATCATTACTGGTGTGGGGCGTGCACTTCCATCATGATCCCAGTTATTTAAAGCATAACCTACGCAATGCTGGTATGAACAGATGAAAGCGACATTTTTGCACATCTCTAGCACGGTCATTTAGCAGTAAATGCGATGTGATGTCAATACAAAGCGTTTTATCTCACCCCTGTTCACCGATCAGTATGCTAAGTCGGAGGTGCAACGGACAATGTAAGAGACCTACACCAATGATGCTCGGCCCCTTACCTAAAAGCCGCTGTTCTCCACAGCAGCAGGAAGCCCTAGATAAATCCTTGGCATGTCGCTGCAACGTCCTCCGTTTACAGCTCAGCTCAGCTCAGGTATCAGCTCAGGTATCAGCTCAGGTATTTACGGCTCAGGTATCCGCAAACAATAATCCTCCTACATCGGCAGGGCTCCTTAACGGTATTACATCAAAACCTGACGATTAGCCACGTTCTTCTGGCCAGTCAGCATCTCACGACATGAACACAACCAACAGTAGCCCACAGCCTTGTACTGAACGCAATGCATTACCGCGTGGCGGGCATTCGAGCTCATCTGTCTCAAATGGCACGACGCTTTAAAACGCTGAGTAGCAAACTGATCATGTTCGCCGCAAGATGCTGCGGCCAGCTGCGATTCTTACGACTAGTAATAAGTCTAGTTTTTTGGCATGTTATTCTGTTTAGTACGTGAAGTAAATTTTGGCTGAAAAAAGTCTACGAAAGCACTGATCTGAGGGGCATTGGAAAAAAGCTGTCACCAGCCATTTGTGAGGTCGGCAGTGATATAGCATAGTTTGTAGTATTTCCTCTCACCTACTAAAAACTATCCTGATTAAAGCTGCCATGTTTACCAGCATCTTATCGCTCAACTTGTTCATACAACGAAACGTCAACGTCTTGACATGTGCACTATACATGCTCACGCTGCAAGCGTTAGCGAGTACAGACCAGTGTTAAACTTTGAGTTTCGTCTAGCTGGTATGGTTTGTTGTAATATGGTTTGGTCTATCGAAACATCTTTGCGTTTTCGCAATTTTGGCACCAATTGCCCCAAAAAAGCGTTAGCTTTTGTCACCGATCATATCCGGTAAATCAGACGTTTTTTACTCCTGCAGTTACATTACAACTAAAAAGGGACGAACCACACAAAACAGGGTTAAATAAAACGCAATGCGTCATGAACGTCCTAAATCTTAAAACTGGAACTGTGTTCGTTTCGGGTGTTCCATTCGCACAACTTCTATTTGCTGGTCGTGCCAAAAATATCGGTCGCTGGACGCTGGTCTAACCCTCCCCGGAGGAATTCTTGACATGCGTTGCGTCGACGTCCTGCTTTACCTCTGGAACTAAAGGTATTGTATCAATAAGCAACGACCCTCCTAGATCGGCGGGCCTTTCTCAAGCTACTGCCAGGGAAGCCCTCCAAGGTAGATCCCGGGAAAAGCCGTACGGCGCCCTAAAGAAACCGACCATTAGTTTCACGGTTGAAGCCGGTGAGCTGAGCTTCTCACGACACGAACACAACCAGCGGCGGCTAAGACAGCGGTACATACGGCCTCGCACTGAACCGACTAACCCAGTTCACAACCGCATCGCCAGCATTCAAAGCTATCTGTCTCAAACGGCACGAGGTGCTTAGTAGACCGACCATGTCCGTCATAAGATACAGAGGAAAGCTGTCATTCCCACAGCTGGTAATAAATGTAGTTATTTCGTGTTTTATACCCTCTGGTATCTGGTTCGAATCTCGGCTGAAAAATATATGAAAAACACTGATCTGAGGGGCATTGGAAAAGTACTGTGTCCCTACTGGATTGTGGCGTCAACATTGAAAATGTATGTTTTTAGGCCCTATTCGGATGGAAACTATTGCAAGTGGAAGCATCTGATGACGCAACTCGCTCATACAGCGAAACTTTGATGTTCCAACATATAGTCTACACAGGCTCAAGCTGCAGGCATTAGAAAGTACAGACCTATCTGAAGCATTGTGCGTCACCTTACTAGGATGTTCTGTTATAATTTGTTTTAGTTTCTGCGATTTCGAGCCCAAATAGCTTTTAAAAATGGCCGTTGTCACAGATAACACCCAGTAAAGCGGGAGTTTTTCATCCCTGGTTTTGCACGCCGCACGGTGACGCAGCGCGGCTGGCCCACTTGAAAACGGGCAAAAGTGTACACCGACAAATCTTTTAAGCGAAGCTATTTTACCCGCATATTTTTACGACAAAATATATACGTAATACCTTATATTTTTACCACAAATTCATGTAAATGACACTCAAAACACCTAATGCGTTGCTTGCACATTTCACTGCGACAGTCATTTCGAATACTAAATAAAATGAAACGTTCTCAACAGAGTTTAATAGACGTACTAAAAACCCTTACGAATTAACACCTTTCGACTCTAAGATCCATATTTTCCGCCCAAGCTCACATATGTCATGTATAGTGCAAAAACTGTTAATGGCTTTTCAACCTCCCAGTGCTCGCCAAAAAAAGTTCAGAGATGCCTACATGGTCACGTTTAAATTCCCGAGCTCGCTTCGTATACTTAAACCAAAACAACCACTAAATCGCCAAATATGAGACATCCCGATTGATAAAGCCATTCCGTGAGATACATTGCATGGGCTGCACAGTCGACTCCAGGTCAAGGTTGCCATAGCACTAAGCTGAGCTCGCCTACGGTGCCGATCGGCTCCGGCCTGCCAACCCTCGTGGAACAATCCACATTTGCTGAACCACGGACACCCGAGGTGACCATTGTCAGACGGACCAGCTGGGTCGATGCCAGAGCGTGTCTAACACAGCTATGCCATCGGAGCTGCTTTGCTATAGTCGGGAATGACGGTAATTTGCACCTGCGAACACAGCAGACCGCTGCAGCTGCGGCATATTCTGCATACTTGCAGTACATACCAGGCGCGCATGAGCTGCGGTCTGTGCGACTTGCTACGACCTGCGTGGCTGTTATGTGCCCGTTTGGTGCGAGCTAGAATGTCGCGGATCCTTTTCCTCGTGCCTGCCGGTATCGCGTGGCAAAAATTACTCAAGGCGCATGCTCCTGAGAAGGTTGCATGCCGCAGGAAGCTTCGGAGCTTATAAAACACCTTGCCTTTATTTATTAATGTCATCCCCTTATTCTTCGTTTCTCCCCTGTTCCGACCACAATGTCGTGGAGCACTGTTTCTGTGCGCACTCCCGCGGCTGCCGCCACACGGCGCACCCTGGGACCGGTGCGCCGCGATCGCCCCGCCCGGCGGCGGCGGCGTGCCGGCCCGCCGTGCCGACGGGCCGCGGACGCGTGTCCCGCCGTGGTCATCGTCTGAAGCCCGGCTTCCCGCCGTTGCAGTTGAAACAGGTGGAAGAGTACATGGGGTACAGGAAGCTGCCCCGCGACCTGCGGCAGCGCATCGCTGAGTACTTCGAGCACCGGTACCAGGGCAAGTTCTTCGACGAGGATATGATTCTCGGCGAGCTGTCGGAGCGGTTGCGAGAGGTGGGTGCCGCCAACGCCTGGACGCTCTCGGTCAGTAGAGTAGCTTTGCAGACGGTTCTCCAACATTCTGTATGTTTCAACTGCTAGTTCAGCTGTCTCAGTTTCGGCCATCGCCAACATTCCTCTATGTGTTTGTTATGCGTTGTAACCAGTGGACAATGATATTTGGGCATGGGAACTTGTCAAATGCTGCTTTACAGTGGTTTTAACAATGACAACTAATTTGGCATAGTGAAGTTACAAAACTATGCTTATTTTACTAGTCCAGCTATGGATCTACGTGTCTGGAGGTGAAAGTCGATTTCGGCTTGCTCCAGGATGTGCCTAATTAGGTTTACCTACAAGCAACATGATCAGTCGTAGATCTTGATTGGGTCTGCCAATAAGCGCGGCGGTTAGCCGAAGGGAACCCAGAGATAAAAATCTTACATGAATGATTGATCACGCAATCCTCTTTCTTGCGTAATTTCCCCGCGCTTTGAAAGCACCTGACTATATGTGGGGGTTTGACGAGATTAGAATCATTAACAAGCAAGCCCACCCAACGTAACGGTGCATGTGTGCCATCGTGTATTTGCAAAAGTGGATGATGTGTGCAGGGTTTTCCGCATATCAGAGTTCTGTTTCCCTCTCCTGGAACATCGTGCGGGGCTGACGCATCTGCACTTTCATACCAACGGCGCCGCTGAGAACGAAAGAAAGGATCCCGCTGAGGGCGGGCGCCGTCTAACAAGAGCCGCCCTGGTCCCAAGCTGAGCACTCTCTGGCTCGGCATTCTACCGACACCCGACCAAAGGCGGCTGGCCGGGTCTGATTCCTCTCCGGGAGCTCCTTGGGATTTTACAGTCGTGGTTTGCGTCATTCTTTACATACATAGGATTGCTTTTGATAGCAGCGGTGGTTGAAGGACCAGGCTGGTCAAAAGACGTTCAGATCAATACCTCGAGTACCATTGAAACGTGTCTCGGTATTGACACGCGGTTATTCGGTACCGTAACGAAAAACAACTTCGTGTTATCATATCCAGCATCGTGCTGCCAGATGCACCGCGTATGCCTTCGATTATGAGCTAGTATACCGCCATGCTACCGTTACGTAATGAGTACGGTGCCGGCGATTGTGTCACGGTCACGTGACGGCCCGTGACGTGCCGCCTCCGACTGATGACGTGCCCGTGTCCCGTGTAGGAGGTGTGTTTCCACAACTGCCGCAACCTGGTGGAGTCGGTGCCGTTCTTTATGAACGCTCACCAGACGTTTGTGGCCGACGTGGTGACTAAGCTAAAATACGAGGTGTTCCAGCCAGGTGGGGTGGCGGGCGGCGCCGCGGCGCCAGGGCGCGCCGGCCAGCCGCAGTCGCTGGCGCATGCTCTCACCCTCATGTCTCGCTCTCTCGCTCTCCGTGTACAGCACCTGTGGCCGCCTCCGCTGCCGGCACCGCTTTCATCGTGCCCCGGTCACCCGGCCTGCGCCGTGCCCACCCCGCCGTGTTGTCCCCGCCCGCAGACACCACACTCGCGCCCACACTGCGCGCGGCCACCGGCGTCACAGCGGCCAGGCTCGGACGGAGGCTAGCTGCCGAGGCCAGTCTAGGGACCAGGCTGGTGCACTGGCTGCTGGCAGTGGGTTTAGGGTGGCTGGAAGAGGGAGTTTTCGACAGAACACCGAGTTTGAAATTCCGTACCGAAGCTTGTGACGGGCGCACGGCAAACAGCTGCTCTGAATGGGAACAGTCCGGCCTGGCACTAACGGGACCTCCCATCGCGACACCAGACTGTGAACACCAGCCGCAGACTAAGCATCCCAGCGCTAACTGAGCCTCCTCCTGTCCAGGACGTCATCAACTATAACTGCCGGGCGCTGGTCGCGTCCGTGCCGTTCTTTGCCAACGCCGACCCCCAGTTTGTGACCGATGTGGTCACAAAGCTGGCCTACGAAGTGTTCCAGCCAGGTCAGAGCCGGTTGCATCGGCCGCAGCCCTGCGCTGGCTGCCGTGGCGCGTGTGGCTGTGCTGTCTAGAGTAGTGGGGCGGGGCGACCCCGCATGGCCCGGCGGTCCGGCCGAGCAGCCGCCGCTGGGCGCCCCTCCCCGCCACCGGCCCAGCCCTGACCCAGCCCTGGTCAGAGGAGTGGTGTGTGGTCTGGCTGGTGCCTAGAGTAGGGAATGCGCAGCCGGCATCTGGCCAAGCGTCCAGATGCACCATGCTGTGACGGGCTGTAGAGTGTAGAGCGCCGTGACCCGTGACCGGCTTCTGTATCATACATGGCACGCGGTCCAGAAGTAAATATGCGGTAAGTTCGTCCCATAGCCCAGAACTTATTGCTTATCAGCCGAATTAAGTGAACATACAGGTACGCACTGTATATTAGAAAAAAACAGCAACAATATTACCCCGGAAATGAATGCACGTAAATACGGTTTTAAGAAAGCAGCATCCTGTTTGTAAACATTCCGAACGGGTTTGAAGCACGACAGAACAAATTGCTCTTAACTGATTATATACATTATACATACATTACATACATTACAAGCTGCTTTAACACGCGCCCGGGCGACCGGCTGGATACCCTTTGCACGGGTGTGGGTGTGGGTGGGGGGTCAGTTTGACCCCCTGAGATCTCGGAAACTAAGAAAACTAAAGACACCAAATTTACAGCGTGTGTTAACCTGTACGTGAACTCACTCACGTCAAACTTTGATTTTCCTAGGTCATGGCCTTCGGGTCAAATGAGGTAAAAAGGTAGAATTCCAGGTTAGTCTACAAAGTGCCCCACAGAACTTAAATAAGTGTTTGTGAGCAAGAAGTCACATGCTCATTTAAGGTCAGTGGCCTTATTTGACCTTTTGAAGACCATGGTGACCAAATCATACAAGTCTGCTCTGAGTTTGGCATTTGAATAAGAGACAAGGTTTCGCTAGGCAGTATGTTTCTAAAAACAAAATGATGACCTGGAGCATTTTAGGTCAATGACCTATTGTGACCCCTGAGAAGTTCACGGAAGATGTATAAAGTGGTTCCTGCCATCAGTAAATTCGGAATGAGCACCAGAAGATATCCCATGCAAGCACTAGAGTAATAAAACAGGCTGGTCTTGACCTTGGTCTGACCTTCGTATCAGCCCTTAGGTCAACTTAATTGGCTCGTTCAATATTTTTGGTGCCTAAGAAAGCATCTCAGAGATGTATGACTTCGTCTAACACTCCGTTGTTGCATCAGATTGAACGATTCCCTAGAAATTGACTTCGCTGAAACCATTTCCTGACTTTGACATGCCATAGGTCAGCAACCGTACAATGTACATCTAATTTCTTGACAACAAGCGATCCGCTTTTCAACTATCTAGAGGTACGCAAAATTTGGCGCGGCTACGCTGCGCCGTTCGGAAACCATTCTGGAAAAACCTTCGGGGGGTCAATGTGACCCCCGAAGGATTTTCCGGAATGGTTTCCGAACGGCGCAGCGTAGTCGCAGCACATTTTGCATAGCTGTAGACAATTGAACAGCGGATCGCCTGGCATTAAAAAATGTAGCCGTACTTTGTAAGGTCGCTGGTCTATGGCGGGTCAAAGTCAGACCAAGGTGTCTGCGGAGGCAATTTCTAGAGAATCGTTTAATCCGATCCAACAACGGAGTGTTCAACGGCGACGTACAGCTCTGAGATGCTTTATTAGGCAACATAACGAATGAATGAACAGATTACATTGGCCTAGGGTCAAGAATAAAGGTCAGACCAAGGTCAAAACCAACCTGTTCTATTACTCTAGAGCTTGCTGCATGGAGAAGTTTCTGGTGCTCATTTGGAAAATATCGAAAATAGAAACGCACTATACACCTCCCATGGACTTCTTGAACGCCAGAATAGGCCACAGACCTAAAATGACTCAGGCCAACTTTTTTTAGGAACATGCTGCCAAGCGTAACCTTTGTTGCTGATACAGATGCAAAACTCAAGGCGTTCTTGCATGATTCTGGTCAAGATGACCTTCAAAACGTCAAACAAGGTCACTGACCTTAAATGAGCACGTGGCATTTTGCCTAGAACGGTTATCTAGTTTTTAAGAGCCCTTCGGACACCAACCTGGAATTTGACCTTGTTTGACTCTATTTCACCCGAAGGTCATGACCTAGCAGCCTCAATCTTTAACCAAAGTGAATTTACGTACAGATCAACGCACCCTGTGAGTTTAGTGTCTCCAGCTCCCTTAGTTCCTGAGATCTCAGGGGGGAGGGGCAGACTGACTTCCCATCCGAGTGAAGGGTATCCAACCGGCCACCCGGGCGCGTGTTAAAGAACACAAAGCGTTTAAACACATGTGTTGAAACCGTATGCAAAAGCCCCAGCTCCATCGGTTAAAACATCATCTTTCAATCGTACCCGTGGTCGAGCGTGTTCAGACCAAACTTAAAGTAAATATTGATCTGTAGATAGTGGTATAATCAAGCGCCCCTGAATCATAAATTTTCCCTACTGGTGCTGACGTATTCTCGTTGAGCCCAAGCCAACCGCCAGTTTAAAGCTTCTTCACCATTTTGTGATGAGACGGCTGTGAGTGCTTCAGGGATATTACACGACCAACATTTCTTTCGGACCGCTGGTGTGCATAATTTGTTGACACGACTCAACTTCATAAGCCACTGTAGCTCCTTTAGCTTAATGCCACTAGTTTCCGTGCTGTCTAAATTCTGCGTTTTATTCTACTCTAGAAAAAAACGTTGTTTGCTTCTTGCGCCTTCCTTAGAAATCTCTCCAGTAACCTAGCAAGAGAGACGGAGAGATCATCGCTTAGGGTAGACTTCCCGGTGTCCTATGTGATAATAGATTATCTACAACAGGCTGTATACTTCCACCATCCATTGCGTTCGATTTAATTTACAATCTGTGTGCTGGCTGTCAATAGCTGCTTGAAAGCATTGCCGGTCATCTGTTCATGTATGGCGACTGGTGATGGTGGCGATTAGTTAATATTTAGAACAATGGTGAGCGCCTCGTGTGACCCGCAAACTGAGCTCCCCGCAAATGATGACCATTTCTGCCTGGATGTGATCAAGACTTGATATCTATATGCAGCTTGAGTATTGCATTGCACCTTGGAATTTCACTTCCGTGATCGCCACTTCCGCTACTTTTTAACAGGTGCCGCGGTGTCCATTGTCGCGCAGCCGTTTCTGGAAAGAATACAGTGGTGGTCATATCAGCACCTACAGGCCATTGTTCGAATGAGATCCTGGACCTTCCATATGGAAACTGAACAAGCCGTTAACTGGACCATTTTGTTCCTGCACTCCCGTAATCTAACCAATTCGAAATTTAGCAGAGAATGAGGGTGTAGTTTTGTTCCCGTTTCGTTGGTCTGCGATTCGCTGATAAACAACAACCACATCCATTTGGTAAACCGCCACATTCATTTGGCGGAATAGTGCGGTCCTGTAGGCTCGGGCATTCATTCCCATATCCACTAGTTGACGTATCCTCTTCCTTTCATGGTATTTTCTGTTCTAAGAACATATCTGGCCTTTTCATTTCATACCGTATATTGTTACATCCTTCAAATAGATATTACCGTTAGCCTGACATCACAAACGGTATCGCTTTCAAGTCCAGCCTCTGCACAGCCAGGACCCTCATCCGAGACGCACTCCCCACCACAAAACGGCGCGTGGTTCTCCGTGACGTCATTTGTCGGCACGACCGCGCCGCTGGGTGTAGCACCAGACTGTCCCCTCCCCCACCGGTTTATCGGTGGGTGCAGGCAACGCTGCCGCCGAGTTACGGCGTCGGCTGCCGCCTCATGCACGGTACAGACTGGGATGAGGCCGAGCTGCAGCCGACGTGATAAGGTGGGACGCAGGGGCGGCGCGCGGCACAGCGCCACGCCGCTGCTGGGCCAGCGGCGGCACACTCCACATCCCCAACGTCTGGAAGTGGCTTGGTTACGTGGGGCGGGTTTGGTGCCTCAGGGCGACATCAAGGAAAGTTTTCATGTAATTACTGAGTTTTGTTCCAGGCCTTATACACCGGTTGGCCACCTCAGCGACAAGGATGCCGCTCCGCGACTGCAATCCCAGCTGGGTGTCATTTGTAGTTGGCCACATTCTGATGTCCCACTTATCGCCATCTGGGCCTGCACTCAACCATCGGCCTGGAGACGGCCGGATCTATACCTGGACGTGGTCTGAAACATTGATCACACCGTTCTATTAGTGTCCTGAGACCCTTGCCCTACGATGGATTGCTGACAGACCAGCCTACGCTGTCACCTGCCTGGACGTTGGTGGCCTGGAATCTCGTAGGCGGGTTCAGTGGTCTGCTGCCTGCGCACCGTCTAGCGTTTGGAGGAGGAATGGTGTAGAGAAACATTATCACTATTCTTTTGGTGCTTATTCACGGTGCACTTGGCGTTTAGCTGCCGCAGTCAGGGATTCATAAATGCAGTTGACAAAATGGTGGAATTTGTAATGAGCAGGTGTGGCATTTGCAGGGTTAATAAGGCATCAACACATGCATGTGCATGACTGGAGAATCTTGTCGGTATAGAGGAACGCTCTGGAAACCAGGCTAGAAATAAAAGAAAACGGAATAATGCCGTTCGCTCGGGCATTCATGGCTTAAGCCAGGCTTCCACAACGCGTTACTTAAACATTGGTCTGATAGGAACGATCACGAATGCATTGCATTGAAAATCCAGCAGAAACCAGCCGAATGACACCATCTGACATTAAGCACTGACATTCACATCCAGCTGCTTCGAGATCAGCAAGCATTTTGCGCAGCGAGCTGCTTCAGTGTCCGCGTGCCGTCGATCCTTGCTTTTCGCCTCTGTTTATGTCAGTGTGGGCCAGCATAACCCGCATGATATGCCTGGTCACTGTGTACACACTCGAGGCAAGTGAAAACAATGCGTTGGTTCATGCTGTGCTCGACTGCAGGGCTGCAGAAAGCTGTCACGCTAGCTTTTAAGTGCCATCAGTCTCGTCGGTGTGTTCTTTTCATGGTGAAGAGAAAACGCTGTTTGGCAATGTGAACGAATTGATGCTATTTCATACATGTGTTCAGTAGGGCGTCTGAATGCGGTATTCAAAGCTACACTATTTTAGTTCAGTTTCCAAGCTAGTCGTGCCAAGCGATTTCTGCAACCATTTCAGCTTGCAAATATGCTGATGAGGATTGCATGCTCCAGAGAAAGCATGCGATGTCTGAAATGTTACTGGTTGTTGTACTTTCAAATTGTTCTCGTTCGTGATGTTCTGTACACCCAGATTTGTGTGGCAAATCCAAATATTGCTCATGTTTGTCGTGCACAATCACATTATTCGTGGACATGAACGAGGTCATCGTGCTCTTGTTTGTCAGCTGTTACATTATTTTTCTAGGATATTAATTCGACTGCATTTGTAAATATTTCCTAAGCTTCAGACCAAGCATCCATTTAACTGTATTCTAAAATATACTTGCGCTGGGTTCATCTTCAGCTTTGAAATTTTGCATGCGCAGACCGTTTCTGATATGCATCTTCATTTTTTGTGGCATATGTTTGTCTGGATGCTATACATTTTTGATCAGTTACAGCTGTGAATAGGCGTATAACTAAAGTTTTCTTCGAGAGAGTAGACATACCAAATTTTGTCCGAACTCCTGAGTATTTCGACTGCATTGCTGCGAAATCGTCTCATTTCTAGTGTAAAACCCCATTGGCTCAAGGGGGGGGGGGGGGGATGTGCCGTTTTATTGACGGGTCCAGCTAACTAGCATTGATTGCTGCATACACGTACACGTGTAAACCACATACAGTTTGTGTGCACCCTGCATAAATTGCAACATGTTCTGTCCGTCTATTCTCGATAACAAAAAAAAAACAACACAAAAACACACACACACACACACACTGCTTGACGAGCCCAGATATCTGACACAGCTGGCATTCCGCTGATCCAGCACAAGGTCAGTCACTGTTCAGTCCACCTGATGCTCCCCTGCTTCTCACTGGCCGACCCACACCCACAGGCGACATCATCATCAAGGAGGGCACCATCGGCAACAAGATGTACTTCATCCAGGAGGGCATAGTGGACATCATCATCAACGGCGAGGTGGCCACGTCGCTCAGCGACGGCTCGTACTTCGGCGAGATCTGCTTACTGACCAACGCTCGCCGCGTGGCCAGCGTGCGAGCCGAAACCTACTGCAACCTGTTCTCGCTCTCCGTCGAGCACTTCAACGCGGTGCTCGACAGCTACCCACTGATGCGGCGCACCATGGAGAGTGTTGCCGCCGAGAGGTGAGAAGCGCCACCTATAACCGGTCGGCGGCCGGCGACGGCGGGCGCCGGGGTAAACGGCGCTAGCGACGCTCGGGCAGTGAGCTCCTGCGAGCGGCTGAGGCTGTTTGTTCAGACGGGTCAGCGTGGCCTTCGCGCCGTGTGACGCACGTGCGCAGGGCGAGTGCAGCAAGCTTTCCATCCGCTCCACTTCCGCGTTGTCTATACGAAGGTCATTGGTAATGCCACGATGTGCTGGGCGAGTCAAACTTCGGAGCGCCGCGACTTTTGTTTCCGGTCATTGCCTATTTAATGCCTACTCGGTGGTGCGCCGGTAGCGTTATCAAGCATGATACCATGTGAAAGCGAGCAAAGGAGTAACACTGACTGTGCATTACAGCAGGGGCTGCTAAAGCTAACGACAGGAGATAAACCACATCACCCACAACTCACTCTCGAACAGTCGTCCAGCCATCCCTAGTCAGTGGCCGGGCGGCGAGCGAACCTGACGCGCACGCGCCGCCGACAGGCTGAACAAAATCGGCAAGAACCCGAGCATCGTGTCGAACCGTGAGGACCTGCAGACCGACTGCCGGACGGTGAGCGCCCTGGTGAGCGCTATCGCCGTCCAGGAGCCGGACGTCGGCCCCAGCTCCGACGACGACTCGGAACCACAGCACAACAGCATCAGCCTGCACCACCTGTCCATCGGCCGGGCGCTGGCGCGCCTGCCGCGCCCCAAGTCCGAGAACAACTTTGCGCGCGCCGAGGAGGCGACGCGCCGCGCCGGCAGCCACCGGCCGTCTTTCCACAAGTCGGACATTATCTTCAAGTCGGAGGTGGGGCACGGCTGAGGCCGGCCGGGGCCGTGCGCCGGCACTGCGCACCCGGAGACGCCCAATCAAACCCGGCCGACGGCCGAGCCGGCGGCCCCACCGCGCGCCGGGCCGCAAGCCGTTGTTGATTTTGTATTGTTTTACATAGGGCGTGTTGCGGCGCCGTGCGTCGCGGGTAGTGTGGGGCGGCGCCATTTCGGCCGCGCCGGGGAGGGCGCGCCAGCTTTTTCGTCGTCTCGTGAGCCCCGACCCCGGCCGCCGAGTCGCGGCAGCGACGGTCCGCGCGCCCCGACCCCTCGCCAGTCGCCCGCGGTAGAAAAGTGCCTGGTCCATGGAAACAATGCAGGTCTTCAGAGTGATATATTGGTGTCTGGTGTCTTCGCGGTGACTGTCGAATCTCACAGAGGGTGTAACCGACCGGTTAAGGGGCGTGGACCGTCGCTGCACCCCTCCCCAGATCTCACCGAATCACGCGCAAACTGGTGTGTCGTAGGCCTCAACACCGCTCCATCCTGTTTTGATGTAGCCTAGGTGCCTGGAGCGATGTTCAATTTTCGAGCAACGGGCTGGCCACCAGCGTCCTCTGCGGTCGCACTTGTGGGGACATCTGAGTAAAGGTGGCGCTGCGTGCAGACGGAATTTTTTCATTCTCCGTGGGCTATTGTCAAGCTGGGCACACCAGCGTGCAGGGGAAACATTGACGCTGCGCCAGCGGAAAGCCTGGCAACTGATCTGTACATACGGAAGCCAGCTGCGGGGCAGTGTGCGACGGGGCTCAGGCCTGCGCCATGGGGAAGCGTGAGCGGATAGCTGATCACGGGCCGCATCGGCTGCCGACCAGCGGACATGTTTCGCGGCAGATGCGGCCGTCACGCTTGGCCTGGCCCCTGCACTGCGTGACCTCGACGCCAGTCTGGCAGACACCCAAGCGACCGCCAGGCGCCGCTGACGCGCCGAACTCGGTCGCGTCAGTCCGCGTCAGACTCCGTCAGTGAGCCGACGGCGTCAGTCGCCACGGAATCCGACCGCCGCTTATCCGTGTTACCCATAGCAATAGGGGAGGTTTCGCTGAGTCCCAACGCTTCGCACACGAGCCAGTAGACGGGACGGCGCTAGGGCAGACTCCACGCGCGGCGAGGCCGGCCGGCGGGGTCAGCGGCCCGGGCTCGGCCCCGCCAGGCTCCCGTTCAGGGCGTGGCAGCCGCGGGCACCGCTGAGGTCACGCCAGGTCACGGGTGCAGGGGTGCCCCATCCACGGCCGGCACACCGTAACGGTAGCCCTAGAGGGTAATGCGTACCTATGTGTAGTAGGCACGGAGTCACGTTGTGATAGATATGGAGCAATATTAGCCTACATAGGGTGTAGCGCTCATTTCCTGTATTATATCTTGTACAAGCAGGTATTTTTTTAAAACAGAAATAAATTATATATTTAAAGCCTAGAACCGTTGTTTTCTTGGCGCGTACGCAAGATTCCGAACAGATGCGACGACTACTCAGCACACAACAAGGAGACGTCTGTATGACGACCACCGCATCCAGTAGCCGTGCACGAACAATGGAATTAACTTATCACATGAAAGCCATGTTTCGACACTGACCACCACTGTTGTTTCATTATCAGCGGTATTACGTTAGAGTGGGTGGGTGGGTGGAAGGGGAAGCCAGGGCCAGTTTAAGTAATTTATTAGAGAAATAAATCAGCATCAGTATCAGACCAGTGTACCGCACCATGGGTCGAGGCTATACCATGCGTTTAAGATGCCAAAAATATTGAAAACCCCATCATATCGCTCTGATGTCTGTCGAGTACAACAGTCCAAGTCCAACCCACGCTCAGCCTACACACGCGGCACCCTCAAAATCAGCCAAAACAATGCACGTGGTGTATGTTGGCGAGCTGGACACAACAGCGTGTTGAATATTTGGCGAGGGCATGCCTCGAGCTCCGGGGCTAAAGTTTGATTACGACTCTTACAACCCGAAATAGCCCTCCGCTGATGTGCGCCTTGCATTGAAAAGATTCGTCTTGACCTGGTGTTCTCGAACCCACCATTGGATACCATCCACGAAAATAACCTTACGTGTTTGGGTAAACATGTCACACTTGCGCGCCAAGCCCACGCTCAGCCCATACAAAAGGCCCTTTCAAACCGGCATAAAATACATATGGTACATTTTGACGAGCTGCACATCACGGCACGCTCCAGCGCTTAGTACATGCAACTGAAGCATGCATGGCATATTCTTGGCGTTATGCCTATGCAGGCATATTCAAATGAGGATCAGCAACGATCTGGGACTGTCACATTTACTTTTGCATGGCGGCCAGTGGAGCTCATTTGGGCGATCCTTCGACGCATCGGAGTCTTTGCGTGCAAACACACAAAGTGTAGTTATGCTTTCCCATAAAATATCGGCTGAGAGTATAAAGTTTCCCACCCATTCATGCAAATGACATCACGGTCGGAAGAGGGTCACTTGATATGCTTTCTGTGGGACCTGAGCCGTCAGTGCTGACCTGAGCCCCTCCCTCTCCAGTATTCCTCTGAGACCCCTCAATGCATATCAGCAGAGGGAGTACTGACCCCAATACAAATACAATTACATTAGTTATTGTTACGCTAGGCAGTAGGTACCTCAAGTCATCACCATAAGGATCATGCCAATTTTGTACCAAATAGTGTCCTGTAGGAACCTGATGTTTTTGTTATGCTTCCTCCTTCATATGTTAAGTCAGTCTACAAAAGTTTCACAAATGATGGCGTTATGATGACGACGTCAATCTGCAAACGTTTCAAATGATGACGTTTGGATTGGGACAACGAACAATCGACTGCAATATGCGACAGCTTTTAAAAGTACAGGGTGGCCCAGATAAAAGTCTACGCACGGTTTTTACAATGGTGGGAAGCGTAGGTAGTTGCAGGGGTGAGAAAGGTGTCTGTTCTGTCATCGACTAAATTCGGAACCGTCTAACCTGGCAGCTGGGGCCAAATCTTTCATAACCCGTCGCAATATATCTCTAAATACGATAAACCACAAAACTAAGACAGGTTTAATGCAATGCGGCATAATCATCAGGCAACTTTGTTTCCGGAGTTCATTTGTGCCTAAGTATCATTTGCTGGCCATCACACACCGAATGATTGAGACTAAACTACTGCTGTTCTACTACTGATACTAAACTAAACCACTCCTCACAACTGTGGGAAAAATACGTCAAATATGTGGAGAAAACTGTTTTAAGTGCGCTTTGGAGACATGTTCAGCCATTTTTCCTGCACCCCCCCCCCCGCCCATCCCTTCAGTGTACGTATTTTGCAAAACCGCATTCCTGTAGCCCTTTATTCACCGATCACATGGTTCTGCAAGAACCTGACAATATTACTTTTGGTTTTGTGACGTCATCATACAATCAGCTGGAGGCATAGGCGCCTTTCATTATCTTCACACAATACTTTCAAGTGCCAAACTTAAAGTAGGTACCTGACGTGATCCCAACCACTTAGGGCAAAACCCACGCAATATTGGCATCAACAGATGCAAACGACATTTTTGAGCACCTCTGGCAACTTCATTTAGCTTTATATGCATAACGATGGCAATAGAAAGCGTTTTATCTCACACCTGTCCACCGATCAGCGCGCTAACTCAGAGGTGCAATGGGCAATGTGAGAGGCCTACAACATTGATGCTCAGCCTCTTACCTCATATTCACTGTTCCTCAGCAAAAAAAAAAAAACGGATAAATCTCTGACATGTGTCCCTCCAACGTCATCCGTTTACGGACTGAAACTACAGCTCAGGTATCCACAAACAACAATCCTCCTACATCAGCAGGGTTTTTTGAGCGATACTACATTAAAAATTGACGATTAGGTACGTTCTCCCAGCCAGTCAGCTTCTCATAACAAGAACACAACCAACGGAAACCCACATCCGCGTACTGAACCCAACGCATTACCGAGCGGCCAGCGTTCAAGCCATCTGTCTCAAATTGCACAACACTTTAAAAGGCTGCGTAGCAAACCTGATCACGTCCGTAGCAAGATGCTGTGGCCAGCCCGTTAGATAGCCTTCGGCCAGCCATGATTCTTAAGACTAGTAATAAGTCTAGTTATTTGGTATTTTACACTGTTAAGCATGTGAAGCACATCTTGGCTGAAAAATTTGTGGGAAAAAGACACTGATCTGAGGGACATTGGAAGAGCATTGTCATCACTAAATGCATCGGCAATGCATTGTGCAACGTTGAGATAGTACAGTGCAGAACAACATTAATATAGTAGTTTGAAGTATATTTCTGGCACCTGCTAAAAACTATCCTGGTTAAAGCTACTATGTCTGGCAACAAATTGTGACCCAGCTTGCTCATGAGCGAAACGTCAGCGTTTTGACATGTGTTCTATACATGCTCACACGGCAGGTGTTAGCGTGTAGAGACGAACACTAGGCTTTGAGTTTCATCTAGCTAAAACAGGAAGTCATAATATGTCTGCTCTGTTGAAATTTGTTTGCATTTTTGTAATTTTTCCACAGTTGGTTCGCAAAAGTGTCAGTTATTGTCACCGATCATATCCGGCACATCAGAAGCTTTTTCATCCCTGAGTAGTTGTCGCATAAGCTTGTCTGTGGAGTCTGCGCAACATGATCAGCGACAGCGGCAGACATCAGTGCTCCCTTCCTAAGATTAACCAAAACATTTCCTGTGCATTAAACCTCATTGTAAGCTTTTCATAAACAGGCAGCTCACATTAACTTGAAATGGTACGTCACTTCCCCGCAGGAACACAATTATAAATCTACGAAATATTGACAATTTTAAATTTAACATCGAAAACGCGAAATCAAGTGGTCGAAATCCGGGGAGAAATCAGGTTTTGGGGTACTTTATGTCGACTTTTTCGGCTGAGCCCCCAACCAATTTTGGAGTGACAACCCTGACGGTCGGAATTAAGCAAAATCGTCGGGTGATGTCATGTCATATCTTACAATACTCACAGCAACGCGCTGAAATAAGCCAAGGGTACATTTGAGACACGCGCATTTCTGCGAGCTGTTTGAGATCCAACATGGCCTCATTCGGTAATTGAAAGATCGGCCGTTTTCCTTCCGATGAAGGGACGAGAAACTCAAGCTTCCGGGCAGCATTTTTGTCAGGAAACGTCACTTCATTATGTGGCCATATACCAAAGCTGACAAATCGCAGCAATCTACGGCCAGTACTAAAAGCCGTCTAGATATGTCGCACATTACACCACGTGCGCCATTACTGGAGCACGCTGTTGTGTTCAGCCCGTCAAGATTCATCATACGTATCGCTTTCAACATTTAAAATGGATCGAATGGGCTGACGGAGAGTTAAACTTGGGCTAAGCAGGTGAAATCTGGCGTGCTAATAAATAGCTCTACACGCACTCCGCTTACAACGTAATGGACCTGAACTTTTCGGGTCATGAAACTATTTTGAGCATAGAACATGCGACATGTCTGGAGTTTCATTTCACAAATTGGTTCAGCATGCCATTGTGTTCAGCTCCTTGATGTAAACTCAGTATACGCATATGCACAGTTTTCGACGATTTTTGAGGGATCGCTTGCATGGGCTATGCATGGGTTGCACGTGGCATGTCAATGTGCCTATCAATATGTCACACCTGTCAACAGAGCCGGGAATGTGTACAACTGATCATCTACACCAATCCATTATACCAGACTACACAGTCAGCTCGGGCGCACCGAGTAGTTTTTGAGCGAATCAAGTAAACATTTAGGCATATTTTTCATTCACCGGTGTTCTTGATCTACCAGATGGATTTTCTTTTTACGCCGTTAAAAATTTTAGCTTTGTTTTAAAAATTATTCCTTAGCGGGCGGGGTCGCGGGGTGATATTTTCAGTCTGGCGCCATTTAGAGCGCGGCGTTACGATCGAAGACAGCGCGAAGGTGGGTTACATTTCAGTTGTTCGCTATTTTTTAATGTTGTAAGATACCTTCAGTTCATTATAATTGCCTGCTGGTTGTGAGAAAAATCCGCAACTATTTAGGGCCGCAGAGTCCTTTTATCAACTCTCTGCCATAGCACAAACGAGCCTGGACGCACTTATGTCCATAACGCGAGCGTTCCTGAGAAAGACAGGACACCGATTGTTGATAAAACATTACAGGGACATTAGTAATGCAGTACACTGCGCACAAACGCGTGCAGTTCAGTGTGCTGCAAACATCCCGTTATCACATGTCATATAGCGAGTACACGAACGAAACTTGTGCAACGGATCATTTTCATGAAACTGTCCAGCCATGATGGAAGGGTCGCAACAGAGGATGTCCACGCCTTTATTCCGTACGCCAGTAAACATCACAGCACGTGGGTAAAAACTGAAGCTCGGACAAAACATCTGAGATTGTAGTGTGAGCTAAACGAGGGCAATGCTGCATCTACCAAGTACAGCCATCCGGCACTCCGACCGCTGCGAGACGTAGGCGCGTGGAATATAGGCATAGACGAAGGCGCGTCCTACGTTTACTGGACGCGCCTACGTCAATATAGGCGCGGAATATAGGCATAGACGTAGGCCGTGACGTTGGCGAGTCCTACGTTTATTGGACGCGCCTACGTCAATATAGACGTGGAATATAGGCAAAGACGTAGGCCGTGACGTAGGCGCGTCCTACGTTTATTGGACGCGCCTACGTCAATATAGGCGCGGAATATAGGCCGAGACGCAGGTCGTGACGCGTGGAATAGTGGATAGTGGCCGCTGGAGGGGTAAAAGAGGCCTCCTGAAGGGCATGTCCTGATCATGACAAGCTAGTGTGAGCTGCGGGCCCTAGATTCTCAGACAGCAGCAGGCACAACAAAACGCTTATCGCATACGCGCCATCTTTCTTGAGCAACACTTATACACACCGCGCCACGCCCCCTTCGTCATGAGTACGCACAATGGGAAAACATCGAACACACGCGACGGTGGCACCACACTTCGTATTTTGATCTAATCAGTAGGAAAACCACTCAGACGGCCGGCCAGCAAATATCAACATGAGGCCGCCGTGCAATTGTACACCGCGTCGCGCCCACGGCGCTAGACGCAGACGCCCGGACTGCACTCAAGACTGGGGGGAGGCCATTAAAACAAACGCAAACAAGCTGGACATAGCCAGCACAGTCGTGCACAATCTGGAGCATTAGGAGACATCTGGTCACACTCGTGACGGCCTCTAGCAAGCTTGATCTGAGCACCCATCGTTAGGAATGGGACGTGAGCAATCAACAAAATTTAAAGGTTTCTGATCGCAGGCCATGTTTTCGACGCGGCGACAGCGACGCACGCGGCGCCGCTTCGCCCAGCTCGCTTCACAGATGTACTCAGCACCGCCATTCCGTGCTCGCGATCTAGACCCCTCCCCGCCCCTTCCATTCACTAAGAGCCGGCTGCCGCGGCGCCCCGGGCCCCGGAGCGCGCGCGGTCAGCAGCCGCGGCCGGCCGCCTCGCGGCGCCGTCGCCAGGCGTGCGCGTCGAACAGGCCAGCGTCGCCCGGAGGCCAGAGCTTGAGCAGGGCGCGGCCGCGCACCAGGCCGGCCGGCACGGCGCCGAAGCTGCGCGAGTCGTTGGAGTTGGCCGCGTTGTCGCCCTCCAGCCAGAGGTGGCCCCGCGGCACCAGGTGCTGGCCGCGAGCGCCGACCCGCTCGCCCGCCACGGCCGTCACGCGCTTGCAGATGTTGTGGCGCGGGCTAGACGGCGAGCGCACCACCACGATGTCGCCGGCGGCGATGCGCTGCCGCAGTGGACTGATTTTCTCGGTGACGATGACGTCATGAGAGCTGATGGTCGGCTCCATGCTGGGGCCGGTGCAGATGACCACGTCGGCTACGTACTCGGTAGAGCAGTGTACAATGCAGCCGTACTTGACGCAGGCGGCCAGCACGCCGGCGGCGCGGCCACAAAGCGTCGCCATGCGTCCCATCTCGGCCGCCGCGCACGGGCGCCCCGGCGCTTCCGATCACAACACCAGCCGGCTCCACCTAAACCGAGGGCATAGCCAACATTTAGTCGATTGAAAAGATGCACACGTAAATCAGAGAAACACTCGTGCAGAGTTGTAAAGAGGTGCTGGCAAGATGGCAATAGATAATTATCACGCTTGTGTCTGACTCAGTTCTTCCTTTCTGGAGCACAGGCTTACGCACATCAAAACATCAATGAGTTTTAAGCTGGTTACCCTGAATTGCACCTTCTGGCTGAACTGAAGAGCGCAATATTGTTTAGTCTACCGCGCGACAAACATGTGCATTTGTACCCCAGGAACCGCATTTAAGTAATTTGTCCACTCTATTATTCAGCAACTGGTCAGGACACACATGCTGGCATGCGATGGCCATACTATGGCAGTGCGTGACACGTTAAAATGTCGGTTAAAATTGTTCTAAAACATCCGAAAGCAGTGATCACGCAATCTCGTAACTTGCATTGGCCTTGCATAAATTAAGAAACATATTATGGTGGATCTTTACAGAGAGTGGAGTGAGGGTGGTGGATGGTCAGCACAGTGGGCCCATATGACATTTGGTCATAATCTCACATTACACAAATGAAGTAATGCAAAGCCCCCCCCCCCCCCCCCACCACGCACAACCTTATACAGGGGAGGAGGTCGCGGCCGGGTCAGTTTCGAGAGGTCGCGAGATCAGATGGAAGAGGGATAAACTTGCAGCAACAATATTTCCAGGCTTTCAACATACTCCAAAGGAGGCATCCATCTAAGCTGCCACCTTCCATTTCCCTTCCAATGACCAATGTACTGAAATCCCTTTTTTGATGAAGCCAAGGTGGGTGTTGGGGAAAGCTATGTTGTTGGATGATATATAATTCAAGACTTAGCATGAGTATAGCTTTGATGAAAGAAAGCTGCAGCATGAACAGAATACACTTAAATTGTTATCAGATCTGCATCATTTAAAAACCAACAAAACTGCTGATGTTCCTAGTCTTACGGCCCATGGAACTTGAATGGAACCAACCAAGCACATCACATGTAGTGTGTGGTACCCTAACCCATCACTCGCTGCATCACATCTAATCCTAGCTGGATAAAGCACCATTAAATTTGTGATCAAGAGCCCCTTTTTATTATGATGTTGTCCAAAAGGATAGATGAAACACACAACTTCCATGTCTAGAGCCTGAACACTCTGACTTTGGCCCAAATAGTCAAATGGACCAGTGGTGTGTAACTATAAGATAACTATAGGGTGAATGTAAATATTCGCACTACCCACAAAAGGAGCCCAGATATAAGCATTTCCACATACCAGCATATTGGGAAATACAGAAAGGATTTGACAACTGAAAAAATCACTCCATCATTAGAAACCTTAGAAAAATTGGGACATGGGTAGAAAATGTAATGAGTGCAAAATGGTACAAGACACTCATGATCTTATCACTTACTACCAGATTTCAAAAATTTTCATAGAATTCCTCAATCTTAATATGGGGCTCAGCTTGAGACCTTTCTTAAATGCTGAACATTCAAAGATTTGTTCCCATTCAATCACAGGCCCAGAACATACACAATACATTTCAGATCTCAAAATGCATTGGATGCTACCTCTGCTCTGAATACAATAGACATCCAGTGATGGGACATGACAGTCATCATTGTTAGTATAGTAAATGGTGCCATGAGTGTGCAATGTGATAGCAGGTAATTGATCTTATTAGGTTCACTTCCAAGTTTAAACTCCTATAACCCACACGACCTTGAGCAAGTAGCTGTAGGTGTCATGGCAAGCCAGACTACAAACAATATGCATTACACAGAACATTCCTGGTGTAGTGACATTGTGGGAACAATGCCCCCATGCATGTTGTCAATGCTGCGTCCAAAATATTTGGCTTAGCATATTTCTTTTGTAATGTCATGGCCACTCAGAACTGCATATAATCACTGCCAATTTCAGTAAACATGTGTACAGAGAGCCAATATTTTAGGGAATTATGGTGGAAAGGCAGCTGCAGAACATCAAACTTAAAAAAAAACACTTGTCGCACAAACAAAACTTTTTTTAGCAAAAATCCAGCACACCTCGACCTGACCTGAGTTAAATGCATGCAAGCACAAAGTGAAGTGCACCAACATCGTGTAGGCGTCAGGCGCAGTTCAATTGACTAGCAGACTAAATGACTGAGACAGGGCGTTATAACCAACATACAAACTACTGGGCCCATGACGTATTGACTTTGGTGAATTACCTGGGGCTCTGCAGATATCTAAGGCACGCACCTCAATCAGATTATGGGGCTCGAGTGAGGGTGTGCCCAGCTACCTTCCTTCGTCGCTCCCAGCGCCGCCAGCGCTTACCACCAGCACAAACCACGTACTAAACTCATCCAGCACACGAATATCTCTTTTCTGCAAACGTATTATTTGCGCCACATACGAAGTAGGCGAAGCAGAACGTCACATCCAAATTGCAAAAAAGGCGGGGCAGCTTACAGCCAACAGAGTTCATTAGTTAGCACTTACCACCAGGCGTAAGAACTAACAACTGGGCTCATAAGGATTGGCGAACTTCTTTCGGTTAAAAAAACGTAAACGGCCTGCCTATTGCACATTTTGCGATACTTGCGACAATTTTGACACTTTTGCCAGCGGCAACGTGCTTCGCAGGCGGCATCAGTGACGAAGATTCGCGTCGGTGTCAATGGCTGTTTATGGAGCCGACCTTGTGACCGACATGCTAGCCCCACTCACATGTATGTCTGTTCATAGATAGACGCATTGTATTCTGATGATCGGTACATGTTGTCTTCAAATTTGCACAACTGTCACTAAATTTCCCATCATGCACAATAAGGATCAGTGGTGTCACTTCCCAATCGTTTGGTGGTTGGTGGGAGGGGTCGGGGAGGGGGGAGGGGAAGGGCGGGACGGTTAGGCCGATGAGGTTCACCGAACGTCTCCTCGGATCTCAATCTGTGGCCCTGTGTCAAGAATGAAAAATTCGGAAGATTATCTTTATTTGCTCAGGAATGGCTTCCGATTTCAAGCCCATGTGCAGCTGTAATGTTATCAGAAGCTTGGAATTAGGTGTAAGTTAGAACATTCATCTTCTATTAACTTATTTTGGCGCCCGCCGGAGCTTTTCTTGTTTACAGAAAACATAGCTGCGGGAAATGCATTATGGGCACTGTCAGGCAGTGTTAGGCACCTAAAAGCAAAACCAAAGTTGCAGGACCTCAGCGGACATGTCCATAACTGGAAGGGCACATTGAGAATGGTATGTTAACCGGACGGGTGACCAGAGGGGCCTTCCAAAAAAGGAGAAAAAAGTATAGATATTAATGATCAACTTACTTTTCGGAAACAACTTGATGTTTGCTGGTCGTGTTACTAGGAGTACTGCCCCCTCATTGTTCATCAATGTTGTCATGCTCATCCGACGGATTTCTCAACAACGCCAAACGGTGATCACGAGATTCACAAAGCCCAGCTTGCGTAAAAGCAACAGGTGCCGTGACTGACTCAATTTAGACGAAGTCCTTGTGCGGCTTTTGAAGTTTCGTACTCGCACATGATGTGAAATGCATAATGTTATGAATATCTTTCTAGAGATAGTGGCAGTACTCAAGAATAGACAGCCTTACCGAAGAAAAGCTTCTCGGTTGTAATGGTTTACGGGCAATAATCATATTTGGCTAGATTAAATATACATGTCATTGTTATTGGCGGCTGTTGGCTAGATGGCCTTCTGCATTGATCTACAAGTGACTAGTGTGGAGACAATTCCCTGTAATGAACCAATTAACTGGGGCGACTGCAAAAAGTGGCCAAAACGTCGGTTCACCGACATTACAAGGGCTTTTACGAAATAGATGCTTTCGTTCTAGCATGGTCAGCAAACGTCACTTTACTAGGATCCCGCAACTAGCACTCACACATTTACACTACTACATCCATGTGTGTCACCGGTCATAACAAAGAGGGGCCTTAAGTGTGCTCGCTGCGCACAGTCTGTGCGGGTTATGTGCAACGATCAGACCCCTCAATTATGAGAAGAACCACACAGCCATACACTATGCATATCTCGTGATTTGTCCCCAGTAAATAGTAGCCATCTGGTGCAAGGTTCACCGCGGCATCACCACGTAGCCTCCACCTCCTCTCCTCACAGAATAATGCGGAATCTTTCGTCGGCACGCCGGCATCCCCCCAAGGGGGAGATGACAATGAAACCAGTCCACCCTCCTCCCCATTGCCTACGTTTGCTACGTCACCTCATGTCTCACTTGCATTGCTTTCTCATGGCCTACATCATTGGCTATCATATAAATTTCCAGCAACCAAGATTCATTAGCAAAAGGTGAGGAGTGGGGTGCAAGCATGAGGTTGAACTGTGAATAACTGTTTCAATGCGATGAGAACATTACTGAAATAGTTGCATTTCGAGCAAGGGCGTACTTTTTGGAGATAGATTTGGGAGCAGTGAAAATGTATGCAATGTATCCTCAAAGTATGGATGTCTCCCAGGTTAGTACACTTCTTCACAAACTTAGGGGAGAGGGATGGAGCCCTGAACGAGATAAAAAGTAGGAACACACGGGTGTCGGTTTATATTCTCTCATGAGGGTCCTGCCCCCCCTCCCCTCCCCATATTGAGTTGGGCCCCCCAATGTTGGCTTGGCCCCCAATGTTTGTGGCTGAAATACTACGAAAACGTGAGTAAAACATAATCAAAACAAAAAGAATATCTTATTTGATCTGTCTGCGTAGTGGCGTCTCGTGCCACTCTCATAACAAAAAGTCATGGCTGCTCTCGCTACAAGAAACAAATCGTAAGAGCTGAGCGGACAAACGATGCAATAAACTGCACATTCCTAGCGCCTTAAGACGCGCAATGGCTTATGAGGTTAAAGTGAAAAACTCTGGAATATGGGGATGACCTAAGTCCTTCATGGCTAACCCCGTCCCCGTCCCCCACAACTAAAATGCGTGCCGCCTCCCATGATCGCCACAGAAGAGCGCCATCGGCACCTAAGGTGGCGTCTAAAGGGGCGCCTTCGCGTGCCGATCAGAAGAGACGCGTGCATCTAGTGTCTGCTCCCTGGGTCCAACCCTGCGTGACTCCTTTGCTGCTTAAATTTAAGACTTATAAATTATATGAAGAGTAAGTTATACAAGTAATTTATTGCATTTGATCAAAATGAAGTGGGCCAAATCTAGTCAGAAAAAATGAGGTATGTTGTTGGGCCTTCACTTCGGTCCCCCACCTAATAATTTACAAAAATTGACACTCCTGTACGAACACCCTTGATTCGAAGATCTTTGTGACTGGTAACCATTCTCAATCAGTATAAGAACTAAAATGGCATGAATTGGCATTTCGGAATTATTATCACCCCCTGTTATTCCCCCCCCCCCCCCCCATAAGGATTGCCAGACTACAGCATTGAACAACCGGTTGTTTTCAAAGGGAAGGATGGTCGCTTGCGACTGCTTCAGTGAGTCAACAGCCTTTTCATAGTCTTGAAAAGGCAATTTGGATAACCACAGGTCAATTTCTACCTTGATGTGATCATCCCACCGACTTACCCCGAGCTGTCAACGCCTCTCGTCGCTGAGGACAGGACGCTGAACCGCGGCACCGCCAACGAAGTAAGCACGGTCAGAATTAAGCCCTAGGCAGGTATTCATGATACTGCAATGCGAATGTCACTTACAGAATTGCAGTGTATTGAGAATCACCGCCCACCTCATATCAGTGGCATCACAACGATTGAAACATGCCCTTGCGGCCAGATGAATCCCCATATCTCGATCCTTTTCAGCATTGTACACCGTAGTTCAGGACGTTGACGGTCGGCTGTTAAATCCAGCGAATCGTCCGGCCGGCCGGGCCATAGCAAATACACTGATTTGCCGCCGACCTGTCACCGAGTTGGCCGACCAACAAAAAATCACAGGATATTTTTGCCGCCGGGCTGGAATTAAACCTAGAAAAGATGCCATGGTTCCGTAGAGTACGGTAAAAAGTTTTCGCGGAAACGTTTGTTGGCGTTATGTGACGAAATGTGTCAACATAGAGGCATAAAATCTGTATGGAGACCTCACCTTATGTTTTGCATATTGTGCTGTATTTTTTGTAGTCTAAGTTGTCACCAAAATGTGCTGTCCGAAAGCTTTTGTGGCGCCAAGCTCTGCATGAATATATGAATTTTTGTCGCCGACCTTGTCCACCAAGTCGGCAGGTTTTACCACCCCTGAGTGCGATGCTAATGGGCGCGGCACAACTGTCTGCTGTCGATGGCTCCGAAAACACCTAATCGTCATCATCATCACACGAAGCATTTCGCACAACTAAACAATTGATGAAAGAACGCCTTCTTGAAAAAGATGTTCTTGGAGGTGATAGCTCATCTTACGATGCTTAGTGTACCGCTGCGACTGTCGTTCATTTTATCAGCGTATTTAGGCCCGATGTTTATTCCATAGCGTATATCTTAAAAATGAGGAATGCGTGAAATTTCTTCATTTAAGCAGTTGCGTTTATCTGTGTGCCGTTTTCGGGAAGATGAGGACCACATGAGATTTCATCGTTGAAGAAGTTTAGAATATATCTGTGTATATCTGTGTACATCCGCGTATATCTGTGTGTCGTTTTCCGAGCAAATGTTATCTATTTTGGCAGCGAAGGTATATATATATATATATATATATATATATATATATATATATATATATATATATATATTGCGTTGGGATCCGCGAAGTATGTATGGAACAGTCCAGATTCGTGAACCGCTGAAAATTAACATATTAACAAGTACATGACCTATTTCATGGATTTGTGTGCTCATCTCTACTGTCAACTTTTGTTCACCTTGTGTGACGTTCACCTCGGCCCAGCCAATCATCCGACTTTACCTGACAGTCGTGACACATCGCAGCCGTGGGTTCGCCACAGATGATCCAGATAGCCATCTCTCCCGACGTACCGATCCACTGTATGTAAAAAGTATCACTTCGTTCACAGCTAAGACACGCGCGTCCAATATGCACCCGCACTGTATCCTGGCGGATTTGGCCATTCATGAAAGCACAAACTGCACACCGAAACGGTCTCGCACAACGCAATTTACTCCATAGGTGGCAGGTCCGTGATAACAGCAATATTAGCCCGAATCAGATGCTGGCCAGCTTTCACAGTCGTGCAGAGCAGGAATCGACCGGTGGTGGCCAGCAGACCACCGCAGCGCAGCGATGGCAGCTGATCGCCAAGTCAGGATGGGACGCGGACCCAGCAGCCGGCCGCATCGACAGCGTAACGTCTGGGCACGAGGCCGCCCGCGGCGCGGCGCACCGGCGCCATGACTGGGCGCACTTCCCCAGTCCCGGTGACACACCGAGCCCGGGCCGGCCCGCGCGCCCGGCGCCGGCAGCACCAGCAACGGCCTCGGTCAGCGCGCCACGCCGGCGGGCCGGCGGCGGCGGCCGCTCAGTGGAAGATGGGCCTCTTTGGCGGCCGGAACGGCACGCCCCGCGCACTGTGGACCATGACCGCATCCTGCCGCGTCGTCAGGTTCAGGCTCTCCGTGAAGTTGTGCAGCTTCTTCACGTGCAGGCGAAGGCGGAACTGGTTCTTGATAGGTCCTGTCGAAACGAGTTCAGTGCGTACATTTACTGGTAGCTATAGGTTGCAGGCTATTAGCAGTTTGGTCGTACATGCGCCTTCATTCGGCGTGAAAAGAACCTTGTGGTGGTCTTACAGCACTGAGGATCAATCCGCGTTCGGGTGGAAAGGTCCCCTCGACCCTCTCCCCCAAGACTGTTCTATAAATAAATTTGGAACGGTTTGAATCAGTCGCGCCCCGCTTGTCTAGCTGCAGGCAATCTTCACCGTAAGGTTTTGGTGTCCATGGTGTCGTTTGGTCTAAGTGAGCCATGACCCTATTCCCTTCCTTGGATACGCCACTGGTTGTAACCGCAAACACATCAAAAACCTATCCGTGACGGTCTCCAAAATAGCAACATTAGGCGTTGCTCACTGAATAGGTGACCCCGGCGCAACGCAGGTGAGGGCGCTATGACTTGCGGCCAAGCGGCGGCGGCATACCTGCGGCTAAGTGGGACTTCCAGTCGGTAGTGATGGTGCCGTTCTTCTTGTGCCAACGGTTCACAGTCTTGGCCACCTCTGCATCCGAGCTATTGACGTGCGTGCCTGACGGATAAGGAACTGGTAACTCTGGGACATGGGCGAACACGTGGACATCAGGCGGGCTCGAAACAACTCCTTGAATGTGGTAAGGTTTGTCTGTATCTTTTCGGCATTGATAGATCGCGAAAACAAGAAATCGGCACATTGCAGACAGAAAAGCGTCTGAAATATAGCGACATAGTGTTTCAGAACGGACCTGCCAAAGAGCTGGAATTTATTCTAGCCAGGAGAGTTTCACTGCTCTTGAAGTCAACAAAACGGTGTCCGGTATTGTCCTTTTTCTGAAGGAATTCGGTGATGCCGCTCCCTGTAAATAATGGTGCTGGTAAAGAAACATGCCTCATGAATGCTATCAAGTTCAACATCATCACCTTAAGAGATGCATATCATGCATGCATGCATGGATGATGATGAATGCATCTATGATGCATACATCATATCTATCCTGAGTGCGCAGGAAAGTTGATTTAAAACACGAGGCATGAATAGATGAAATCACGAGTTCTATACATGTATTTCATACATCAATGTTAACGCGCAAATGCTCCCGTCATCCTCATCTAAAGCACACCAAATATTTAAAAAGCCACCACTTTTGCGACGATTCCCTATCTCTGAGAAATAAAGATGTTGATGCAGTCGTATTCAGCTGTTTTCAGTCAGTGCTAACACCGCAAAGTAGATAAAGAAAAATAAACTTGCAATGGAAACTCATCAGAGGCATGGCATTGCACCATACCAGAAGCATACATATACGAACCATCACAGGTCGACCTCTACTGACCTTTCAGCTTTCTGCCGCAGAACTTGACCAGCTCGTGCGTGTGGTTAAGGCTGTTGTAAATCGCTCGTACGCCTGGCTTGTGGCATTTACCATCTGTTGTGATGTAGCCCGTTTTGTTACCGAACTGACCGTATTTGTTGGTGCAGAAACAGGCGCCGCTGAGAAGAGCAAACCGTTTGGTAAACCCAGGTATACTGTTTGCCCAGGTATAACCTTTTGCAATCGTAAAATGTTGCCAGTGGTACAGAAACCGCAACAGCGAAATTTGCTGTGTGGCATAAAAATACGCTATTGAAGAGTTTTGCATTAACGCCCATTTAACTAGCTGATCGATCGCTTTGTTGTCGATTGATCGATCGATCAACTGACAATAATCAATCAGCCATCAATCGTCACTCGATTAATCGCTTTATTTGTATTCAACGGCAATTCGGGCACCGGACAAATTTTCACACCTGCCGAGGCACACATTTACGGTAAACATGTAATTCCAAAACTGAGCAACATACGGTGCCGTGGAATAAGAGTCACCTCCATGTTCAAACAGGACATCAGTATTGGTCAAGTTGCACATTCTGATCCTAGTTAACCTTGTTCCTGTCCGGAGGGGAGAGGAGACAGGTTGGGACCTATTCTGAAATCTTATTTACAGCCTTCTTGTGTCAATTTGGCTAGATTCTTGAAAATTTGTAGTTGTTGACGCCTTTTGGTTGCGCGTCCGATGGCATAATTTTGTTGTTACACAGATATCGTAGGTGGCTACAGTACTGTTTTTAAGGGCAGGTTTTGTCATCTTCGATTCTACATTTTGACGTGCTTCAAATGCGCCCATTTTGCAAGGAAGCTGCTGTGCTTCAGCATTAAAGACAATCCAGTTCGTAACAATGAAGATTCGAGTGCCACGGCGTGTCCAGGGAAACATTTTGCGGGGTCTAGCTCTCATGCTTAAAGCCTGAAGGACCCCAAGGAACGTAAACATATGCATGGTTATGGTGTGTGTCATCAGTTAGAACATGTGCGTAGGGATTCAGAATATTGTCTTAATGATACTTTGGTGCATATTGTGAACAGAAGGAAACAAACAGCATACCCCTCAATGATGGCAAAGAAGAACTTGTTTTCCTTCACGCAGCTGCACAGGCAACTGAATGCTGAATCTGGCTTGGTCAGGGGCCCCATCCATTTGGTCTTGTTGGCAGACCCGGAGTAGCAGGCACCGCCGATGTGAATCTGAACTGGAAAGAAAACAACCATCCGTGAACACTTCAGTTGGAACACAGCGGCAGCTCATCACCACACCAGCTTTGTTCGGCGTTAAGGCTATGTATCGCGTTACGCGGCGAATATAAACCGGCTGGCAAATTTGCTAACTTGCTTTATATGCTGCATTGCAGTTCGTGCAAACGCCAGCGATAAATGTTTGAGAGGTGCCTGAGTGATGCATAAATACATCAGTGGCCGTTTCTGTTAACATACAGCCAAATGCGAATCCTTTGCTCTTGGCGCCGACCATGTTCTGTTTCATGTTGGTTCGCTTTGTCAGCGCAGCCATTCCTGAGGAGTCGGCGTGGGTCTGGTTCACTGCAAAAAAATTTATTGCGTGACGGTTGGCTTGAAAGCAGCAAGGTAGTAGCAATAGCACAACATTTTTGGGGCATGACTCATTAGACATAACAACGCATGCCCGTGAGACAAATCCGACAGTAATGCTATAAGGCACATACAGAATTGGCAGACGTTTGATGTACATGCATGCACGTTTTAAAGTGAATGATTGAGCCTAAAGCTTTAAAATGACAAAGGCCCAAATCTGCCCTCTCCTGACGCCTTTTGAGGTGGTGGTTCGTTTCCGCGACAAACGGCTAGACGTGACCAATGTGTCAACACACACGTTCTTCTGAACGCATCGGCTGTTATCCATGACTGGGCTTCTCGAAGGCATTCCGATGGCGTAACGGTTTTTGCAGAGGCTCAGCCCACCAATATAGCGGTTTTCGCTGGGCCTCAGCCTACCAGCATAGAGGTTTTTGCAGAGCCTCAGCCTACCAGCATAGCAGTTTTTGCAGAGGCTCTGTCTACCAATATAGCGGTTTTTGCAGAGGCTCAGCCTACCAGCAAGCGGTTTTTGCGGAGGCTCAGCCCACCAATATAGCGGTTTTTGCAGAGGCTCAGCCTACCAATAAAGCGGTTTTTGCAGAGTCTCAGCCTACCAATATAGCGGTTTTTGCAGGGCCTCAGCCTACCAGCATAGCGGTTTTTGCAGGGGCTCAGCCTACCAATATAGCGCTTTTTTGCAGAGGCTAAGCCTATCAGCATAGCGGTTTTTGCAGAGGCTCAGCCTACCAGCATAGCGGTTTTTGCGGAGGCTCAGCCTACCAATATAGCTGTTTTTGCAGAGGCTCAGCCTACCGGCATAGCGGTTTTTGCAGAGGCTCAGCCTACCAATATAGCGGTTTTTGCAGAGGCTTAGCCTACCATAGGGAAGCGAAAAGAACATGAGTGTCCCTAACGGAAGAGGGGAGACGATCGCCTCGGTATTAAGAAGAGAGAGATGGCCCCAGCGGTGTGATAGCTATCAGGGTTTGGTGCCAGATTAGCGCCACTCACCAGCGACATCTTTCTGAACGATGTCAGAGAAAGCGGTCGTCCCTCGGACTAGATGCTCATTCTTGTTGTGGATGAACTGCTCGGTGTTGTGAGCTCTCCGGATTCCTTTCACTGGAAGTAACATTCAACATGACATTCGGTTAGGTGTATCTCTGTAGCACAGTTGCGGACCTGCCATAGATTCGATCGCAGTATGTGTTGCTTGTGCCACTTGTAGATGAAAACGACATAAGTGGGCGGACGTTGTACATAGTACGGACCTGGCTAAAACCCGGATGAATTATCAGGGCTTCCAGAAAACGTATATCACGCTATTTCTTTTAGTCTGTAAAAGAGAATGAGATTGATGACTTCGAAGTACACGAACGAAAACGCGCTGGTCGTTGGAAGGCGTGCACAATCTTTTTACCAAGAACATTGGTTACGTTGGCTGGAACCAACATGCCAAGTTCGCTCGATAAGTGGGCGCCAATAAAATGGAATCCTGTATTCTGGGGGCCTTGATAGAGACAGCAAAAAACCTGAATATTTCAGCAGGACCCCCATAGCGCTGCAATGTCTCGTTTGGTTTTGATAGCCATTATGAGAATCCAAGGAACCACTGATAATCTTGAAAAGTTGTTTTCGCATACATTTGGCGTGCAAGAGCTAAGTTTCATAACGCAGTAGCACCCCGTTATCAAAATTGTTTGAGAGAGCGCCGTACGTTACCTACAACTTTTGCTAACGCGAATTCCCCATAGCTCGAACAGCCATCATGACAAGCCATACGAGGTCAAAATACATTTTTGATGATGCTGACGGAGAGGCAGGTCTTATTGCTTAACAAATGCCGGGGACGAGGCAGAGGCGGCGCCAGTGCCTTTTACGTTGACATTAGGGGAGACGAAAGCGACTCCACTCACACATGCGCCCGGCTACTAATAGAAAGACTGCTCTGAAGCATCACTCGTCACCGCCAGCGTCCTCGCTCTGGCGGGAACGCTGGTAACACCGGTGACACTGGTAACACCGGTAACACTGGTAACACTGGCAACACTGGTAACAGTTCATTCAACCAGCAGGTGAGCAGCGACATGCGGTCTACTTACGAAGTGGATGTGATAAGCAGCGACAAATGGAAACTTAAAGCTCGGCGACTCAATGCAATTGCAGATATTGGATCACGGCGGCTAAGTGGGGTCAGCTTATTTAACATTAGTTATCGGAGCGACGCCCACCCCTGTGTGGCGCTAGGCGAGTTGGGCAATAGTTGACGTGACACTTGTCCGCTGTCAGGACCCACAATCAATTTAGGAAGGTCACATCCCTGATAAATAGCCGCGTCAAATCACCGAAGACATTAGTGGCGCGATTTTGCTCGAATGAACCGCTTCAAGTCTTACCGAAATGCCTCCGGTAGCCTTTCTTCGCGACCTTGTCCACCGTTTCTGACTCCATGTCCACTCGTTTATCCGTTTGTGAGGCCACGATGATGGCGTTCGCTTGAGCTGCGGAGGGGTGTGCAGTGAGGGTTATGCCGCGGCATTCCAACACGGCCGCGAAGCGCTTCTACGTGGCCGAGAACGATGTAAACCCGGACCAACGCTACTGGGGCCTCAGTTGGGGCAGATGGGTCATAGTTTAATTGTCTGGGCCGTCCGTAGCTGATCTCATCAGTTTGGTTTCTTGTGCTTGTGTGTTGAAAACATAATGAAGTGAGAGCACGCTGCAAAGGGAAAATTCTATATTCGAATATAATGAAGCAAGGGCCATATCTGATGAAATAAGATCACTAATAACCACATATGCGTATATATATATATATATATATATTATATATATATATATTATAGTTTAAGCCGAAAAGACCGCTGTAGACAAAACAATTTCTCTGTTTAGTAAATATGCTCCACAACACATCATGTTTCATTACGTCATTGTAACTCGTGCAACACGGATTGGGTGCCAATTGGCGACCATCATTTCTGGGAGTCGTGCTCACGAACGCTAGGCATGAACGATTCAGCAATTGTTTTTTATTGGCCTTGACCGCCACGTGGCTAATGGAATGACAAGATTTAAGACAGGAGTCAAGATGGAGGTTGTTATTGCTCTTTATTCAATTGTCATGGCTGCTATGTTACATATGCACCTAAAGCACCTCATTGGTGCACAATCCTGCCTCCTTGACTCATCTATGTCATTCAGCAAATAAGGCTATCCAGTTTCCCATGATCATTCGTCGATTTGAACATTGCCTTTCCTGGAAAGGCAAAATCCACCAGCGGGTAGGCAATTTGGGTCATTGAGGAGGATTCTGCCAGCAAAGAGTAAATAACAAAATACGACCTGGACATGGACCGGTGATAATTTTGAAAGTAAATCGATGGCTCACAGTGCGACAGATTTTTCATGAGCTTTCATTTCGCTGGCTGCTTTTCAAGAGATAAGAACTGTCGCAGCATTTTAGGCAGAAACAAATGCCGGAGCTCAAAACTGCCCCCCTAAAAAGTGACAAAAGCTATAAAACTGGAGATTCTCCTTCAAAAACCAAGCCACAGAATGAAAGCCCTTCTGTCATATATTCCTTATCTGGGTCCTGTTCCCGTCCGCCGCCGACGGCCGCTGCCATAGCCCGGATGTCTTCCGCGTGACTGACTGCGAACTGATCGCATGGCTGTTTTTTGCATATTTCTGGAGCAGCGTCACTACTAATTGGTGTGTAAAACATATGTTGGACGACGCCTGGAACAGTATCCCGATTATCTTCCCTCACACCACAACACCGCAGAAAAAACTCCGGGAAGCTACCTGCCTCAGGTATGTCTTAGTCCAACGGGCAACCAGTTGCCTATCATTCAACGTAGTCGACTTGATCTGCTTTTTTGTGTAGGCAGGGGCGTAGCCAGAGCCTTGCCAAGGAGGAGCAACGGGTTGACGAAAGCCCCTCTTATGGTGACTCTTCCTCCCAAGAAAAAAATCACCGGATACAGGTTACATGTAGACAAGGGACAGATTTTCTTTGGTTATTGTTATTTCTTCTTTGTAACCGGAACAGAAACCAGAAGCTACCTTGATATAAATTTTATTTGTGTTTTGAGGTTAAATGAATGAAATCATGGAATAAATCACCAGCGCCTCAATTCATAACGGTTTAGTTAACTCTTTCTAAGCCGATGAAATTGGGAAGCTGTGACAATTTTTTCTGAGTTTTACAGACATTAAAGACATCACAAAGGTAGACTGTAGATCGATATGTTTGACCGAAATTTGACGATGAAAATTTGATTGTAGATCGACTGGTCAACAATGCGCATTAAGATGGTCAAGCCTTGTTTGTCTGGGAATGCTCAACAGTCAGTCAGAATCGATTAGTGGTACAATTTATGTCACGTGGTTTTTTTAACACGCGCTCTCGCAAATCTCAGCAACAAAAACGTCCGCACCAGGCGTTGCAGTCTCCATAGTCCTCGGAATGTTAGCTCAGTGGCCGACTCGTAACTGTGGCCCATCGCTGGACGAAAATGACGACGCTCCTGAAAACGTTTACCTTCCACAATCAAATCGATTAGTGATACAAGTTATGTGACGAGGTTCTGAGTACGCGTACCCGCAAATCTTAGCAACAAAAGCCTCGACTCCAGGCGTTGCAGTCTCCCTAGGCCGCGCAGCGTGGACAGAGCAGCTAATACTGAGCTGTGACTAACGGGTGAAAAAAAAATGATGATGCTTATGAAAGAACTATACTTCAACGGCTCAGGACATCAAATTTTACATTTAGAGGGCACTCTGGGCGCACATTTCACGAGTGCGATTTTTAGACTGATGATAAGAACGGATTGGCCCTTAAAGCACCGCTAAGTGGTGCTGGAATCTGGTGGTGGACTGGAAGAGTAAATGTACTATCTCATTTTTCGTGTTCCTTTAACTACTCAGCTCTCCAGAAAACAGATTAACGCGGCGCCCGCCGTCTGGTGGCCTTCCGGTGGCCGATGTCGTTCGGTTTTACGCGGGCTGTAACCCAGGCAATCGCTGTCCTTAGTCTCGAGGTTGCGGACGGGCATTTTCAAACCTTTTGGTGTAATTCGTTTTGCCAGTCCATTCTGAAAAATGAACGTACTCAGGCAAACATGTGATGGTATTGTTGGTTTTTTTATACTCATTTCGACCCTCTCTATTCAACGACCCCCATTCTATTTAACCTTGGACCCCTCGTTTCCCTCCGGACGAGAAGCCCTTGAGTAGAACACCAGCAACACATGACCATTTCCAGTCGAGGTCTGAAGGGTCATTCCGTCCCATCGCGAAGTGTCTTTTGGCTGTCATTCTGGCGACACAGGGTGGGATCTCCTGGTCGATCCGGAAGCCCTTAGAAGGATACACCAGATCACATTGTTCAGAGGGAGCAATATGATCTGATGCCCTGACACGGGAGGCCTTCTGACGCACACAGCTGGCCCCAGATCGGCACAGGAATCCTCATTGACACAACAGCATGCTTGATCACCGCAGGTGGTAAAATAATTGTCACATAGGCTACAGTTCCCTGTTTTCATGTGTTCTTCAGATATAATGAGGACTCTTTGATCGTAGATTGTAGATGGAATGGGGCCCCAAATTTGTATTAGCACGGCTAATCCATGTTCGTCTTGAAATTTTCAAGATTTGGTCAGAATTTATTAATGGTAAAAACTATATAATATGGTTTTGAAAATGCGCGCTCGCAAATCATAGCAACGACAGCCTCGACTCCCGGCGTTGCAGTCTCCATGGGACGCGCGGCGTCGGTTCTGCGGCTGTGACGTAAGCCATGGCCAATAAGCAAACGAAAAAGGTGACACATCTTGAGGAAGATGGCTGGTGAACTAGGTAAATCAGCATGTATGTTGAACGTAGTGCAAACGTAAGCTAAACACAACCTTAGTCTGAAAGTGTGGGGGATGGGGAGCGCAGTTGACACTGCTGCCCCCCACCTTGAAATGTGTGTGTGTGGGGGGGGGGGGGGGGCATGCGTTGGAGCATTGGAAATTAGCAGCATGGAGTATTCTTGCGACTAGTGATAAGCCCAATTACTTGGTGTTTCATGCTGTAAAGTATGTGAAGTGACTTTTGGCTAAAATGTGTGCCAATCACTGATCTGAGGGACATTGGAAAAGCACTCCGTCACCACTGATCTACGTCAGCACTGACTTGGCATAGTTTGTTGTATGCTTCTGTCACCCGCTAAAAACTATCCTGAATAAAGCTACTCCGGTTGGCAGCATCTTAGGCTCAACTTGCTCATACAGTGAAACGTCAACGTTTTGACATGTGCTCTTACACATTTCACGCTGCAAGCACAGGCTAATACTGAGCTCTGAGTTTCGTCTGACTTGGATGGTCTATTGTTATATGGTCTGATCTGTTGAAATTTGTTTTCATCTTCGCAAGTTTGTCAACAGCTGATTAGCAAAAGTGTCAGTGTTTGTCGCCGATCGTACCCGGTAAATCAAAAGCTTTTTTTCACCCCTGGCGACGGTATGCTACGTTTCAGTTCCGTCCCGCTCCCGCCGTGTCGCGATGGTACGCAATTAAAACTGGTCGCTGAGGGTCGGCCATAACTATTAGGATATTTGCCAGCGTGTGTTGTAAAATCAGCTGGGAGTATTGAGCAGGGCAGAAGTGACTAAACCTCTTCCCATGTTAAAACGAAGCTCAATTTATCTATGAATCTGCCCACTGCCCTTTGGTAACGCTACAGATCCAGGACTCATGCTTACGTGGGGCGGGGCGGTTGGAATGTGAATTGTGATGAGTGTGATGTAGATTTTTTCCGGGCTGTACCACGATAATATGAGAATCCCGGAAGTGCATGTACCAACAAGGGCGTAAGGCGTAGCTTCAACAGACAGGAGCTGGTACGTCTGAGAGGCGGATATGTAAGAGCCTGGCTTTATGCAAACGTGAAGAAGCAAAACACAAATTTAGGGTTGGTTACAACAGTTTGGGGAGGCCAATTTAGGTGTCGTAGGCACAATTACAGTTTTTCTGTAGGCAAGATGACAAATGGCAGGCTGGCGGTGGAATCATTAATGCTTATTAACTGATGAATTTGTAGGGTCCAGGTCAGACCGGTCATCATTTACTTACAAGTGTCACGAATGGGAAGGGGGTAGGGCAGTTGGTGGTCACTCAATGACTGTAGTCAAGCCACCTAAAAAATATATAATGCTCCGCCATGCTCATCGGTGCATATCGGCTTGTCCTATGCTGTTGTTTCTTAGTGTTTTATGGCATGTCGTCTGATGCGGTCATTTAACATCCATAAAGTGGGCAGGTCTTTTAACATAGCTGGTTTTGAACGAAACACAAGACGTCAATTCCTAGGCCTTCATCACGCAAGCCCAAGTGGAAAAGCGCCATCCATGAGCTTTCATACCGCTGATGAAGTGCCTTTCTGTGTTGTTGACTTTCTCTCTTTGTCTCTCGTTGATGACTTTGCTGTCCAAAGTGGCATTTGTTCCGATTATCTCTTCGTTCTTCGTTGCTCCTGAAACATCATTGATATTTTGAAAAATGGCTTACATCGTTTTTTCTTACGCACTCCCGGGAAGTACTGACATCCGCGATGCATGCTTTTTACGCGTGCACGGTTGTAATTTCGAGCCCCTATCTTATAAGTAGCTTATTATAATTCGCTGTGAGCTGTATTTACTGGGTGGTTTCTGAGGCGAAACAATGACTACTGCAGGCCCAAAGCAAACTGTATCGGAATGAAATGTCAAATGTGATCGCTATGTAGATAAATGACGAATCTTGTTGGGAGATCATTCATCTGCCTGTCATCATACGGCAGGGGCCGACACCCCTCCCCACTCCTTTGACATCCGCGCCTCAGATCTCCTCCCCAAACATACCACCCCCCCCCCCCCCCCCAATGCTCCTGTTGCTAAGTTGGACACTTGCAGCCAGGGCTCTGGCCTGACCCACCATTTCGGGTGCTGTTGACCCTCCGCGATTCGATCAGCTGGGCGTTGCTCCTGTCGTCGTAGCCGTTTCCCTGAACACAGTAACGTTGTGACCATCGGGACCTCTGGTGCGCTTAACGCGCTCGTCGGACACGGTGACCCGGCTGCCTCTCCGCAGCAGTCGGCGTCGTAGGACCTCCTCGCTCGTGCCGTTCACTGCAGGAACCAGAGACAAGTCAGCCGACCCGTAGACCGCGCCCGTAGGAGGACTGGTGAGTGCGCCGACAGCGCTGCAGCGGTCGATGGCCCAGCTACACTGATCGAAATTGTACTGACCACGCTTCGGTTTAAGCGCCCGATAACTACCAGCGTGTTTCAAGGGTGACCTGTTTTGCTTAGTTAAGGAGGAAGAGGCACACCGAGACTACCACTCCCGCTACCGCTACGTCGCGTCCAAGGCAATGCACCAGCGAATGGAGAGGCAGGAGCGAGCACTGACAGCCGGGCGAGCGGCGGGGTTTCCACTGCCGCTGGAAGAAGTGGAACGGCAGCGAAAAACTCCAGTTATCAACCAGATCCACTGGTCAGCACTGAGAGAGCATGGTCACCGGAAAGGGACACTGCTCACCGCCGTGAGACGGGATGCAGAGTCGGCGGAGTTTGTTTAATGGCTGACGTTATTTGGCAGGCATTGCCACTGACATGTCGACTACTAATAACAACGAATTGAGTGCATCGACAATGTTATTCAAAGCAGTAAGATGCCGACGGCCTTGAGTTCCCTTATTGCTATTCTGAGCCCCTTCCCACCAGCAGTGCACCAATAACGGAAAGGACCCGCCGCCAAACGTCGACGTCTTCGAAAGCAATCGCTCTGGCCCATTGGCTTTTATCACTTGATTCTTAATCTCACTTTGTGCACATGACCTTTCATTTCTCATGCTTTTTCAGGTCTGAACCGTCGTGCGTTTGACTTTTTTTTGCAATGCACTTGAGCAAAAACAGGAATACTGGACCGAGGCACTGCAGCAATTGACTGCTGGTATAATAGGTACTTGAACGCAGCACTATCAAATATCAATATCATTATTAGCTTGTACCAATTGTATCAATAAACACAACTGTTTCCAATGGGAAGTAGTCCTTAACATGACAAATTCTGGAACCAACCAAATGTTTGCAGACTTAATTTTTACATCAGGATGGGGCAAACACGTACACACACACGGTAGCCGAGGTCCGGAGAGAAACAAGGATTTGCGGGTAGGTTAGGCCAGCTTTAAAGATTCATCCCCCGACCGACTTTAGACAGTACCACCCCTGCGTTGCAGTCTTCATGCTTACGTCTGATTCCAGGTAGGCTGCACGCTGACTGATATGTTTGTGCTTAACCATAGTGTCATTGGCCATGATGGCCCATTCGAATTCCTGGGCAGCATATCCTGAAAGCATTCAAACCGTTAACGCTCCACATCAACCGATTGACTTGCTGATCACCACCAACCCAGGATATTCCCTGGACGTCCGGGAAGCCCCACAAAAAATGGAGGTGAGCTCAAAGAGGCTGCCTATGAGGAGTTGCCTCCTTTTTTTGCCATTTATGCCATCACACCGTCACGTGATGATGGGCTGAAGTCAAAAATAGCCACAGCCCTTCAATGAAGGCCAAAATATTTTCACAAAACATTTCTCGGGATTTCTAGTGGCGTCGGCTATAGTGCTGACCAGGGCTAGCCATGCAACAAGCACACACACGGATGCGAGGTCGACGAAGCTAGTTCCAACGTGGTTCGTGAACTTTTATAAGCTTCCAACTGGATGCAGTCTCGAACGCATCCGTCGCGATCGCGGGTCGCCGGTGGCGCCTCGGACCTGCCGATGCGGTGGAGCTCTCGACGAGGAAGAAGCCACGTGCGTGTGGCGACGCCAGCGTCCAGTCCATCGAATCCACGTAGACAGACGACGAAGCCAGGCCGCACTCGCAGCCGTCCCTGAACAAACGGTACCGCATCAATGGAAGTTGGATCGGTGTTGGGCTGCATCACGGCCTGCGCGCCAGGTGGCATCAGCACTGGGCAGATGCGAGCTGCTGCGGTCGGCTCCAGAAAACAAGTAGACAAACAGAAAGCCAGATGACAAAAGTTAACATGATAAGTCAAATGGCAAAAACTTAGCCAAGGAAAAAGTACAATGAAAAAGGTAAAAAAAGTCAAAAGGACGAACGTTCAAACCACATAAAGCATCACAAATGAACGTCAAATGGACAAAGCGAGATCGCAAAAACCAGAAGTGACAAAAGTCGGGGGGCCAGAGCGATTGCTTTCGAAGACGTCAACGTTGGTGGCGCGTCTATCCATTACTGGCATACCTATGTGAGGGGCATTGTTGGGTGCATAGCATGCATGTAGGCTTATGAGTTGTAGCCGGTGTGTGTTGCTTTTTTTGCACCACGCAGTTGGTCGTGCGTCTTTCTCTGTCCAGATCGTTGAAATCTGACGTAAATCTTTAAACACCCCAATACGGGCAGTGTCATGATTCGAGCACAATGGCTCGTGTTGGCCCCCACACATCGCTCTACACTGTTGTCAGTAGTGATGACTGGATCGGGACAAATGCTGAGCTGCTGCTGTTGCAGGAATGCTGCAGAAAAAAAAACACGCTTCAACATAGCAACGGGCCGCTCACGTTGATTAATTTGTGTCTCGAGTAAGGCCGGCCCGGACGGCACCTTTCCTCGTAACTTATTGCGCGCGTTGTGATCATTCACCACAACTCCCCTTGTGTCATCGA